ATCTCTATAGTAATTCTCACCCTTATTGCTGTAGGGTTGGCACTAGAAGCTTTCTTGGGGCCCATGGTCACTTATTTTCCAGATAAAATCACCAAAAACACTGTAATAATACGAAATGTTACGATTGTATGCTTGGATGCTACCGCGGAGGCTGGCTGGTAAACAATGCCACCGGCGGAACATGTGAGGCTGGCTAAGGCGCACATTGGACGCGTCTCGGACGAACAGCGGTGAGCGGGTTTTTAAGCGGTATGCGAGGCAAAATTTTAGCGATAAAATGTATCGGTATGCGGATTAAACGTTATGTGATGCCAACGGTATGCGGGGGTCCACTGTATACTGGCTCCCTTGCTGTTGTGTGTTAGTGTGACTAGTTAATGGTCCAAGTTGGGCCAAAACATAGTTGTAAATTTCTTTTTCCTATGTGTGATTTATTTGTGAAACACTCAACATTTGTGTAAATGAGTTAGGGTAAGTGAATGACTGCTAATGGCACAGCAATGTTCAATTACAATATAATTAGTGAGTATTAGCCACCTTCTATGGGCTTTTAGATATTTTGCCCATAGTTATATGCACAAAAATTACGGCATTGAGAAATTGCTGCAATTGTTAAACCATCATATAGCAAAAACATCATAAAATGTACACAGAAGAGGAGAAGCTTATACACAGAAGAGAGGAGCTTATGACGACGTTACAGTCCGACTTGGACCATTTACAAAGTCAAACTTACTTTCCACCAGACTAACACTCTTCGCACTAATCTCATTCATACCTCTCCTCCCTCTACAGATGCTTCTGGTGTCTACTCTATTTCTTGTTCCTCCTGTCCTCTCCAGTACTTTGGAGAAACTGGCCGATCTCTTTCTGACAGACTCAGTGAGCACAAAAGTAATGTTAGGCTTGCCAACACTGACAATGCTCTTTTCTGTCATGTCAGAGATCACAGCCATCCTATCGACTGGTCTTCTGCTAAAACTGTATTCCCTATTTCCAACTTCAACAGTCACCGTCTGGTTTAATCCTCCCTAATACACAACTTTACTTGTATGAATCTTAGTCCTGGCTTCGTCTCTGTAGATGCCTTCCTTTCCCACTACATTGTAAAATGCTCCAAACTTCAGAACACCTGTGACTTAACCTGATTTCTCCTTTTTCTTCTCCCTCTTCCCCTTTCCTCTTTCCTTTTTCTCCTTTGGGTTGTCTTCTATCTTGTTTATTTGTTCCTTCTTTATTTATTTATTTATTTATTTATTTATTTTTTCCACCCTCTGTGTTCTTGCTCTTCCCCTCTGTGGGCATCTAGCCCCCCTTGCAGTGCTCCTCTTTCTTAGTAGTATTTGACTGGCTGCTGCTCCTTACTACCTCCCCCACTACTACTACTACTACCTTCTACCTCCACTACTACTACCACCACCACCTCCTGCCTATACAGTGGTCCCCCGCTTTACGATCAGCTCCCTATGCGACCAATTATGTAAGTGTATTTATGTAAATGCGTTTGTACGTGTATGTTTGGGGGTCTGAAATGGACTAATCTAATTCACAATATTCCTTATGGGAACAAATTCATTCAGTAATGGCACCTGAACATAATTCTGGAATGAAATAATATCGTAAGCCGAGGGTCCACTGTATATACCCCTCTCTCCTTTTCATTAGCGTGACTTTGTAAATGGTCCAGGTCAGACCGAAACGTCGTCATAAGCTCCTCTCTTCTATGTGCGGGTTATTTGTGTATCGTTCCAGTCACAGTATTGTGCCTTTTTTTTATCGTATAATATCATGTCTTAACCCGTAAAATGTCCAAACGTAGATATACATTGGCATGCAGCAGGCTCCGAACGCAGATCTACTTTTTTTTTGTTTTACGTGCTTTCAGATGGGGAAAATCAAGGTTGGAGCACTATGCACATGAACATAGATCTACGTTTGGAATGTTTAAGGGTTAATCAGCGGTCTAGTGTAGTTGATTGTACATGAGGGAAAAATTTGATTTCATTTCTTTGATATGTGGTTTTAAGTACAGTGGAACCTCAAATTTCGAACTTAATCCATTCAGGAAGCTAGTTCTGAAGTCGAAAAGTTTGAAAGACTAAGCAATGTTTCCCATAAGAAATAATGGAAATACAATTAATCTGTTCCAGAAACCCAAAAATATTCACAAAAAAATACATTTTATAGATAGTATTACATTATAGTTTTATATACACACAACAGATATATAGTGTACAATTGTTAATGTAGTAGGTAGGTAGTAGGTTGGTAGGCAGCAACCACCCAGGGAAGTACTACCGTCCTGCCAGATGACTGTGAAACAAACCTTTAACTGTTTTGCATGATAGTAGGATTGCTGGTTTCTATTTCTGTCTCATAAACACGCTAGATAACAGGGATATCTTGCTACTCCTACTTACACTTTGGTCACACTTCACAGACACGTGCATGCATATATATATACATACATCTAGGTTTTTCTCCTTTTTCTAAATAGTTCTTGTTCCTCTTTTTTTCCTCTATTGTCCATGGGGAAGTGGAAAAGAATCTTTCCTCCGTAAGCCATGCGTGTCGTATGAGGCGACTAAAATGCCAGGAGCAATGGGCTAGTAACCCCTTCTCCTGTAGACATTTACTAAAAAAGAGAAGAAGAAAAACTTTATAAAACTGGGATGCTTAAAAGTGCGTGGATGTAGTGCGGATGACAAGAAACAGATGATTGCTGATGTTATAAATGAAAAGAAGTTGGATGTCCTGGCCCTAAGCGAAACAAAGCTGAAGGGGGTAGGGGAGTTTCGGTGGGGGGAAATAAATGGGATTAAATCTGGAGTATCTGAGAGAGTTAGAGCAAAGGAAGGGGTAGCAGTAATGTTGAATGATCAGTTATGGAAGGAGAAAAGAGAATATGAATGTGTATATGCAAGAATTATGTGGATTAAAGTAAAGGATGGATGCGAGAAGTGGGTCATAATAAGCGTGTATGCACCTGGAGAAGAGAGGAATGCAGAGGAGAGAGAGAGATTTTGGGAGATGTAAGTGAATGTATAGGAACCTTTGAACCAAGTGAGAAAGTAATTGTGGTAGGGGACCTGAATGCTAAAGTAGGAGAAACTTTTAGAGAGGGTGTGGTAGGTAAGTTTGGGGTGCCAGGTGTAAATGATAATGGGAGCCCTTTGATTGAACTTTGTATAGAAAGGGTTTAGTTATAGGTAATACATATTTTAAGAAAAGAGGATAAATAAGTATACAAGATATGATGTAGGGCAAAATGACAGTAGTTTGTTGGATTATGTATTGGTAGATAAAAGACTGTTGAGTAGACTTCAGGATGTACATGTTTATAGAGGGGCCACAGATATATCAGATCACTTTCTAGTTGTAGATACACTAAGAGTAAAAGGTAGATGGGATACAAGGAGAATAGAAGCATCAGGGAAGAGAGAGGTGAAGGTTTATAAACTAAAAGAAAAGGCAGTTAGGGTAAGATATAAACAGCTATTGGAGGATAGATGGGCTAATGAGAGCATAGGCAATGGGGTCGAAGAGGTAATGGGTAGGTTTAAAAATGTAGTGTTAGAGTGTTCAGCAGAATTTTGGGTGGTTACAGGAAAGTGGGTGCGGGAGGGAAGAGAGCGATTGGTGGAATGATGATGTGAAGAGAGTAGTAAGGGAGAAAAAGTTAGCATATGAGAAGTTTTTAGAAAGTAGAAGTGATGCAAGGAGGGAAGAGTATATGGAGAAAAAAGAGGGGTTGGAGTGAAGCAATGTAAAAAAGAGAGCAAATGAGAGAGTGGGTGAGATGTTATCAACAAATTTTGTTGAAAATAAGAAAAAGTTTTGGAGTGAGATTAACAAGTTAAGAAAGCCTAGAGAACAAATGGATTTGTCAGTTAAAAATAGGAGAGGAGAGTTATTAAATGGAGAGTTAGAGGTATTGGGAAGATGGAGGGAATATTTTGAGGAAGCTGTGATTTCGTGTATAGGGCAAGGAGGAACAACATCTTGTAGAGTGAGGAAGAGCCAGTTGTGAGTGTGGGGGAAGTTCGTGAGGCAGTAGGTAAAATGAAAGGGGTAAGGCAGCTGGGGTTGATGGGATAAAGATAGAAATGTTAAAAGCAGGTGGGGATATAGTTTTGGAGTGGTTGGTGCAATTATTTAATAAATGTATGGAAGAGGGTAAGGTACCTAGGGATTGGCAGAGAGCATGCATAGTTCCTTTGTATAAAGGCAAAGGGGATAAAAGAGAGTGCAAAAATTATAGGGGGATAAGTCTGTTGAGTATACCTGGCAAAGTGTATGGAAGAGTTATTATTGAAAGAATTAAGAGTAAGATGGAGAATAGGATAGCAGATGAACAAGGAGGCTTTAGGAAAGGTAGGGGGTGTGTGGACCAGTGTTTACAGTGAAACATATAAGTGAACAGTATTTAGGTAAGGCTAAAGAGGTCTTTGTGGCATTTATGGATTTGGAAAAGGCGTATGACAGGGTGGATAGGGGGGCAATGTGGCAGATGTTGCAGGTGTATGGTGTAGGAGGTAGTTTACTGAAAGCAGTGAAGAGTTTTTACGAGGATAGTGAGGCTCAAGTTAGAGTATGTAGGAAAGAGGGAGATTATTTCCCAGTAAAAGAGGCCTTAGACAAGGATGTGTGATGTCACCGTGGTTGTTTAATATATTTATAGATGGGTTGTAAGAGAAGTAAATGCGAGGGTCTTGGCAAGAGGCGTGGAGTTAAAAGATAAGAATCACACAAAGTGGGAGTTGTCACAGTTGCTCTTTGCTGATGATACTGTGCTCTTGGGAGATTCTGAAGAGAAGTTGCAGAGATTGGTGGATGAATTTGGTAGGGTGTGCAAAAGAAGAAAATTGAAAGTGAAATACAGGAAAGAGTAAGGTTATGAGGATAACAAAAGATTAGGTGATGAAAGATTGGATATCAGATTGAGGAGAGAGTATGGAGGAGGTGAATGTATTCAGATATTTGGGAGTGGACATGTCAGCAGATGGGTCTATGAAAGATGAGTGAATCATAGAATTGATGAGGGGAAAAGGGTGAGCGGTGCACTTAGGAGTCTGTGGAGACAAAGAACTTTGTCCTTGGAGGCAAAGAGGGGAATGTACGAGAGTATAGTTTTACCAACGCTCTTATATGGGTGTGAAGCATGGGTGATGAATGTTGCAGCGAGGAGAAGGCTGGAGGCAGTGGAGATGTCATGTCTGAGAGCAATGTGTGGTGTGAATATAATGCAGAGAATTCGTAGTTTGGAAGTTAGGAGGAGGTGCGGGATTACCAAAACTGTTGTCCAGAGGGCGGAGGAAGGGTTGTTGAGGTGGTTCGGACATGTAGTGGAAGGAAGGCGGGGTAGGGGTCGGCCTAGGAAAGGTTGGAGGGAGAGGGTAAAGGAGGTTTTGTGTGCGAGGGGCTTGGACTTCCAGCAGGCATGCGTGAGCGTGTTTGATAGGAGTGAATGGAGACAAATGGTTTTTAATACTTGACGTGCTGTTGGAGTGTGAGCAAAGTAACATTTATGAAGGGGTTCAGGGAAACCGGCAGGCCGGACTTGAGTCCTGGAGATGGGAAGTACAGTGCCTGCACTCTGAAGGAGGGGTGTTAATGTTGCAGTTTAAAAACTGTAGTGTAAAGCACCCTTCTGGCAAGACAGTGATGGAGTGAATGATGGTGAAAGTTTTTCTTTTTCGGGCCACCCTGCCTTGGTGGTAATCGGCCTGTGGGATAATAAAAAATATATAATTGTTAATAAATTTAAATAAACATATAAAATAACATTTTTACTTACCTTCATTGAAGATTGGTGATGGCATCTGGAAGATAGGGAGAAGAGAGGGAGTTGGGGTTAGTGTTTGGAAGGTAAATCCCCCTCCATAAGGACTTAAGGTATCAAAGCCCTCTCTGGGGTTACTTCCCTTCTCTGTCTTTTAATGCCACTAGGACCAGCTTGAGTCACTGGACCTCTGTCTCATAAAATAACTGTCCACAGTCCTCTGTTTCTGATGCCTCTTTAAGATTTTCCTAAAATGGGACATTGTTCTGTCACTTAACTTGTTGCAAAGATTTCTTGTTTCAGCTTGCTTAGGGTGGTACTTCTGCACAAACATTTGGACATCATTCCACTTGGCGCGAATCTCCTTAACCCTTTCAGGGTTGGTGCCGTACTAGTACGGCTTGCACGCCAGGGTTGGTGCCGTACTAGTACGCATAAATTCTAGCGCCTTCAAATCTAGCGAGAGAAAGTTGGTGGGCATACATATGAAAGAATGGGTCTATGTGGTCAGTGTGTGCAATATAAAAAAATTCCTGCAGCACACAGTGCATAATGAGAAAAAAAAACACTGACCGTGTTTTTGGTTTAAAACAGCGACTTTGCAGTGTATTTTCTTATGCTATTTATGGTTGAATTCTAGTTTTCCTGGTCTCATTTTATAGAATGGAAGACATATTACGGAAATAGAGATGATTTTGATTGGTTTTACAATGAAAAAGTACCTTGAAATTAAGCTCAAAGTAGCATAAATGTTCGATTTTTGCCAAAGTTCAAAAGTAAACAAATCATGCCACACATTCAGTACATGTCAACTGTTGAGTCTAATATTCTTTCACAAGTGCACTGATATTATTTATACCATTTCTACACTAATGCAGTAGTCTGCATAACAGTAAATCTCCTATTTTAGGCGAGAATAAAAATTCAAAGTGGAAAGCAAAAGAAATGTAACAGAGGCCTGGGTACATGACTAATGAAGAGAGGAAATGTTATTTTAGTGCCAGGAATGTCTGTCTTGTTTATTCTGAACCCTATTTGTAAATTGGCTCTTTTGAAATTTGTGTGAAATTGGCAAAATTGCCAATTTCTGACCACTTTATTGGATAGTTGAAATGTGTAAATGGGTGGTTTCTTGTACTCATTCGATAGAAAAAATGAAGTTCTAGCAAAATAGTTATGATTTTTGTCAACTGGTACATTGGAAGTGGGCGAAATCGCTGATGCATAAACATCATGTGTTGTGGCATACTGTTAGCTGAATGATGAGCTTTTTATTGAGTTGGGGCCTTCTTTATGTGGAAGTAAAATAGTAATTTAAAAATTAACATTTTTGTGGCAAAGTTGTGTGAAACATACAGGAACTCAATACACTTTGAACAAATGACCATGTACTTGAGGTAAATGTAATTGATAGTATAAAAGATTTTAGAACAAATTAATAAAAAAAATATATGAGGATTGTATCAGAAGACCCATAAGAACATCTGGCTCTAGCCTCAGCCAAAGCAAAGATATGAAACCTTGTAGAGTTTGTCACCTGACACACATTCTCATGATTAGTAGATAAGAGAGAGGGAATTGAGAGCCATTATATTCCCTAATATAGTAGTACATATATACAGTACTAATATGAACTATGAAAAAGTTACACCATTCACACATGTGGAGTCAACAGTTGCATTCAGATACTTGTAGGTGAAGAGAGGAGAGAGAGCATATGTCATATACTTATCCTTCCTCACCTTATTAGATCTCCAAATAATGGGTAAGTATTACCTGGCCTTATCTGTCAAGATGTTGTGTTGTTTTAAGTGAATATGGCTTTGAACATAAAATATCCTGACAAGTTGGGGGCAGCCGCCAGTCTTCAAGTGTTCAAGCCATGCATTGTCTTCATTTTTTTTTAACCTTGATGTAGGTGCTTATACACTTTAAACATCATAACAGTTGCGTATGGTAATTATTGTCATAGGGTGTGCATTGTGCTAGTGCTGAACCTACTGCTATGGCATAAATATCACCCAGAGCAACTGCCACAATATTTCATAATGAGGGACAGAAAAATTAGTTTCCTGCTTTGTAAATAGCCATCACATTTGCCATTTTCCACTTATCTGGCACTTTGCCAGTTTGTATTGATAAGTTAAAAAGACCAGCCAATGGTGATTATATTATTGAGTGAACTTAATATTTATGATGAATTTACCTTCTTTGGTGGGTGTGTAGTGCTCGTCTAGCACACCTAAATATATTATCCTGCATCATAGGTGATAAAAGGTTTAAAAAAACACTTGTTAGATTAGGAGAAATATGTCTAGTGGTCCTGACTAAGATGCATGTCTACTTCCTTTGTATGGTGGGGCAAGTGGAAATAGTCTATGTACTTAGATTTGTGAAAGTTAATATAGTGGGGGGATAGATGGGAGATGGCATTCATGTATAAATTTATAAAATATGAAATCAAAAGTTATATCCATTGAAATAGAAAACAAAAGGCGATGCTTTCAGATGACAAAATTTGGCATTTTTTATAGAAAAATAACGAAAGTGTTTCTGAAATTTAAAAATTTAATAAATTAGACAAAATAGCATGAGCATAGCTCTCATGTAACTGCAAAAAAAAAAAAATCCTACTCCAGTTTCCTTCTCCTAAAGCACTACCATTCATAAACCTACCATTTCAAATTGATTGTTTTAATTGCTAAAAGTGAATAAATATAAATTCTGTAGTATGTTTCGACAAATGTTTTTTTCTAATATTACCATCATTCTTAAGACTACATTTGAATTTTTAAATAGTGTGTGTGTGCACAATATCAATCCAATCAAGAGTAGGAGTGTGCATGTAGCCAGCCTTCGTGTCCCCAACAAAGGTAAGTTGCTGGCAACAAGCACACTCTTGGTAGGTAGCTGGCTCTCTTTACTTGTGGGTGTATTATTTCATGTTGAAGTGTGTTGAATTATTCTTGCTTATTCATTAAAATAATGAAGCATAACCTAGAAAGTTTCTTTGTAAATTATAATAATTTACCAAGCAACTTACTTTTATTACTTTTATTTCATCAACTAAAACAAAAGTGTGTTGTACCTATTTTATGAGTAGCAAACAAAAAACTAGTATATTGTTATAATGACTGTAACAAGTTTCTCGGATGGCAGTTATTGTGCCCATTGATGCGCTGATGCACAAGCACTTTGTGTTTGTGTGCGCATTCATGCATGTATGTGTGTGTATACACACACACACACACACACACACACACACACACACACACACACACACACACACACACACACACACACACACACACACACACACACACACACACACACACACACAGACACACAGACACACACACACACAGACACACACACACAGACACACACACACACAGACACACACACACAGACACACACACACAGACACACACACACAGACACACACACACACACACAGACACACACACACAGACACACACACACAGACACACACACACAGACACACACACAGACACACACACACAGCACACACACACACACACACACACACACACACACACACACACACACACAGACACACACACAGACACACACACACACACACACACAGACACACACACAGACACACACCTACACACACACAGACACACACACAGACACACACACAGACACACACAGACACACAACACAGACACACACACACACACAGCCCCCCAAACACAGACACACACAGACCAACAACACACACACACAACACACACACAGACACACACACACACACACACACACACCCCCACCACACACAGACACACACACACACACACACACACACACACACACACAACACCACACACAACACACACAAAACACACACACGACACACACAGACACACACACAGACACACACACACAGACACACACCAAACACAAAACAGACACACACACACACACACACACACACACAGACACACACACACAGACACACACACACACACACACAGCACACACACACACACACACACACAACACACACACACACACACACACAAAACACACACACACACACACACAGCACACACACACACCACACACACCACACGACACACACACACACACACACAAAACACACAACACACACACAGACACACACACACACACAGACACACACACACACACAGACACACACACACAGACACACCACAGACACACACACCACACACACACACACACACACACACACACACACACACACACACACACACACAGACACACACACACACACAGACAACACACAACACGACAACAACACACACAAACACACAACACACACACACACACACACACACACACACACACACACACAGACACACACACAACACACACACACACACACCCCAACACACACCACACAACACACACACACACACACACACACACACACACACACACACACACACACACACACACACACACACGCACGCACGCGCATATATACTTAAATATGAATACGTATTTCTTTAAAGAGAATCCTTAATATTTTAATTCAACACACTTCTTTTAAATGTTCAATATTTGTCATATGTATTGTTATTTGGTGATCTTGTGTAGATTATTTGTACATTGAATAATATTTTTGAGAAGGCAACAAACTGTATTATAAAGGAAACTTTATTCTTTATCTGAAAGGAAACTTCATTCAGTGTTATACGCTAAACTGAGAACCTGTACTCTCACAAGAAATTATTAAAGGAAAACATAACTAATGCTTTTTATTATATTATCATGAGATCTCCTTGGAAAATTTTAATTACAATTTTATTATATATATGGTCAGAAAGAAGTGGATTTTTTTTTCTTTTGAGCCAATTATTTGGGCACCAAAAGTGAAGAAAGAAGTTTGTCTGTATGCGTACTACAAATGAAACAGAGAACACAGATGTCCCAGTCACATTAACACTTAGTTAAATTCTTTTTAGTTTTGAAAATTTTCTAATCATGAAAATGTGCAGTACCTACTAGCTATATGTGATTAAGTGATTAGAGGGACTTGTACTTCATAGCAGAAACTACGAGTTTGCTTTTGTGTTTGATATGCATTTTGTATTGTGGATTATTAGTTTGAAAGTATAACTACTTTGTTGTTGATGGCAATTCAGTGATTCTTAGAAATGGCACAAGGAGTGTGCATGATGCTGAGAGGATTCTTCTCTTCTAGGGGCGTGGCAGAGAGTCAGAGGAAGATCCAGCCACGCCCCCCTGGCCTGAGTGGTTGGGGACTGCTGTTGGTCATACCTGCCCTTTCTGTGGCAAGATTTTCGTTAAGAAGTTCAATCTGGTGACACATGTTCGCATCCACACTGGAGAGAGACCATTCCAGTGCCCCTACTGCCCATACAGAGCCAACCACTGCTCTCATCTCAAGTCACATGTCAGGAAGCTCCACTTAGAAAAAGAGCATCCCATCTAGTCATATGTGAAGATTATAGCAACACAAGATTGAGAGTTGCATTCACTTTCCAATGATAACTGGCCAAGTGATAGCATTGAAGGGAGATTGAATGATGTGAAGGTGGTGGTAATGTGCATTGTCTCATTCTAGGCATGCCATGAGGGAGGCGTTGTGAGTGGCAATAGGATGCCACCATCAACAGGCTTTACAGCTGGTGGGAAGAGCCTGAGGCATGCTTGCCCAGTCTGTGGACGTACCAGTCGAGACAGCTACGACCTGAAGAAACATATACGTACTCATACCGGCGAGAAACCATATGCTTGCCCACATTGCCCGTATCGAGCAACAACTAGTAGTAGCATTAAATCTCATATAGACCGTCACCATTGGCATTAGTTTTATACTAATTGTTTTTAAATTTTGGAAATTCAGTCAGTCAATTCAACACTTTATATTGTGGTTCTGGTTTATAAATAAGTGATATAGTTAACAGTTCCAGATACACAAAAATGAATGCCTAAAATAAAATTCAGACAGTTTTGTGAAAAGTCAAGAAATAATTGGAAGAAATAATATGCACGAACATATAACAACATATTTTTGTAGAATTTTGGAATTTGTTACTGTCCAGCACAGTTTAGCAAAGTTCTCATTCTGTGTGTATGTGCGCGTGCATGCTCATGCGTGTGTGCATGCATGTTTGTTTCCACCATCACTCTCACTAATCACTACAATTCACATGCTCCTCCAAACTACAAGTATCCCCACCCCTCATGGTTTGTAGATGCATGCATGCATACATGCATACATGCGTACACACATGCATACATACATGCATACATACATATATTCATACATACATATATTCATACATATACATATATTCATACATACATACGCACGTACAAATGTATGTACACGCGCACGTATGTACATGTGTGTGTATGTATAAATATAAACACACAGAATGTATGTTTGTATGTGTAAACATATATTTATTGATAGAAGGCAGTGGTGCTAAAAGTTATAGAAACTAAGTTTTGTTTTGGGAAAAATGATAGGAAATGTGTTAATTTGTATGAAAAAAATATTGAAATTGCTGCAAGTTATTGAATAAAAATAAAATACTTAAGCTTTAATAAATGCCTTTTTACTTGTATATGCTATGTCACATAAGATTATGGAGGAAACTGTAATGTGAGAAAATAATCACAAACCACAGTAATGGTCCAAGTGATTAATAGTTGTGGTAGGCTTGACATACAAGCAATATGAAATTCAACCCAGAGTTCAGACAAATTTCTTTTATAGTATTC